CATTAGAGTATATCTTTATCAAGATTTGATTTCAAGAGCATATATTGATCTGAAAAATAACATGGTTTGTCAAATGTCTTTTTTAGATGTTCTTATTTTATATCAAAAGAAGGAGATGTATCTTTTGATCAACAAAGAATGATTCTTTTGAAACTAGAGCATTTTCATCTTTGAGTAATGTAATCAAAATTAATTGTTGATTCCATCCTTGTATAATAAATCCAATTAAGTATGTCTTCTGATCTTCTTGTTGACAATATCAAAAATCTTTCTTATAAGTTCCAAGATACTTCTAAGTTTGAGTTCAAAAATAATCTATTCTATTTCAAAGGTCAATTATATGTTCAAAAAGGAAAAGCACAATTACATGTTCTTCAAGCATATCATGACTTTCCAACAACAGGACATTTTAGATACAACAAGACTTTACAGCTTATATTTAGAGATTTTTAGTGGCCACAAATATAATAGGGTGTGAAAGACTTTATTCACTCGTGTGATATTTGTTCAAGATCAAAAACTCTCTATCATTGTCCTTATGGACTTCTTCAACCATTATCCATTCTAGAACAATCATGGTCTTTTTTTCCTAAAGATTTCATCATGGATCTTTCAATCTCAGGTTCTTATGACTTTATATTTATGATAGTAGATCATTTTATCAAGATGGCATATTTTGTATTATGTACAAAATCTATCACAAGTGAAGAAATAGTTAATTTTTTTCTTCACAACATCTATCGTTATCATGGATTATCCAAGGATATTATATTAGATAGGAGAACTCAGTTTTTATCAAGATTTTGGCATAATTACTTATTTAAATAGGTAGAAATAAGTAGAAGTAGATAAAAGTATAAAATTATAATGTCTTCTATAGTAGCTTCTTAGAAGCTTCATAAAAACCATTCTAATTTCTTTTAATATACATACTTCTTTATTTTTATTTTGTCACTTTTTCTTTGATATAGATTTCATTAGTTTATGCATCATCTTCTAGTTCATATTCTTAACAAGAATATAGAATGGATCTTTATAGATTCTAATACATGAAATCAATATGCAATTGGATTAATTTGTTTATAAATATGAAATGGTCTAAATGTAGCTAGTCTTCATATTGCAATGAAGTAATCATACCTTTTCACTAATATAGAATTGAAGTTAGTCTTTGTAATAAGCATCTTAGTTGATCTTTTGTAATTCTTAAGCTTTTTGTTATTGTGCCTTCATTATTGTATGTAGCTAAAATAAATGATTCATCAAACCTTTTTCTTTAGGATTATCAACTTTTGAAAAATCAAAAATATCAAGTTATGGATGATAACTATAATCAATAAAAAAAGATGCTTGTTGCATAGAAGAATGTACCATTTTATTATAAAAAAATTGTACTAATGATAAAAGATTTATCTAATCATCTTATTTGTACTTGATAATATACCTCAAATACTACTTCAAAACTTAATTTATTTACTCCATTTTTTCATAATTTAAAAATATTAATTCAAAAATAACTTTAAATCTATCTTTAAAATTTTAAAAAGGATTTTTTAAAATCTTAATAAAAATTGAGTTCTTATCTAATATAATATCTTTAGACAATCCATAATATTGATAAATGTTTCCAAAAAAAAGTTCTATTTCTTTACTTATGATATATTTTATATATGGTATAAAATGAGCCATCTTAATAAAATAATCTATTATTTTGATCACAAAATCATAAAAATCTAAGACTAAAAGATTTGTAATAAAATCTATAAAAATAAAAGAGTTTAATTATTTTGAAATAGATAATAGCTAAAAACATCCATAAGGCTGATGACAAGGAGTTTTTGATCTTGAAAAAATGTCACATGATTATATAAAGTCTTTAACTACCTTTCAGATGTGAAGTAACCAAAAATCTTCAAATATTAGCTCTAAAGTCTTGTATCCAAAATGTCTAACAATTGAATAATCTTGATGAATTTTAAAAACACATAATCATGCTTCATGTGAGCACAATTAACAGCTCTAATGGTTAATTATAATCACTTTTATGAAATTTCAACATATTTTTATTAATTTTAATACTAATATGATTAATTTATAGATCCAAATTAGTTTTTTCAATTAATTATGATTTTATTTGTATTTTTTGATTATTAATTAGATATATAATTCTAATTATTAGATTGAATGATTATTAAAAACTCTAAAAATAGTAAGTTTAGAAGATCTATGATTTTTTTGATCTGATCTAAATTCTCTTTTAGTACTAAAATTAGAATTTTAATAGAATTTTTCTTCTAAGTCCTAAAAATTATATCTTGAATTAATCTACAATCTTAATTTTTAATCCCAAGGCTAAATTCTAATTTGACTATGCTTAGAAAATCTCTTAAATATAACTGATCTATCTTCTTGTTTAATTTTTAAGATTTTTTTAAGCTTAAATTTCATACTACAATTTAATTGGATTAAAAATATAAAGTCTCATTGTTAAATTAATGATGATTTCTAGAAGATGGAAGTGATTTAATTGCTATGGTGGAATTCCTCTCTTAGTGATATTAATCACTATTTGGAGTTGAAAATTGAAGAAAAAGAGAAAAATCACAAGTGTATTAATTTAAGGCCAAATTACAATTGGATCTTGGATTTGCTAAGAGTTCATATTTAAGGGAGTTTAAATTGAAGAATGGTGATCATGATGGCTTTAATGGCAAGAATCCTTACTAATCTCTAAGTAGACTGAGTAAAATTAGAATTATAGTTGAAACTTACAACTAAATTAGTAAATTAATTAGTTCTTATGATTTAGAACTTGAATTTGGGCTTGAAAATAAACAATCTTAGGATAAAAATGTATTTTAGAAATATTGGTGGTGTTATTTTTGCCAAAAGTTATTAATTTATGAATTATAGACATTTCCAACCTTAAAATTGGATTCAGGCTCAGAGTGATTGTGGACCTTTGATCCTGGTTAGGAGTTTTTTGATTTGGATGGTGGAGATGTCGCTTCCACCTTTGGGCCTCCGCCCACTTGGTTAAAAAGGCTTGGATGGCCGATCTCCCTCTCTCTCTTTCCTCTCTTGTAAGGTGAAGCCTTGCCAAATTATTTTTAGGCTTTTAATTGAAGGAATTTTCCTTTACCTCATCACTACCACCGTAATTTTTTTCTCAATCACTTAATTTTTTATTCTTTTGAGCAATATTTGGTATTCATCTTTTTCTAATTATGAGCTTTTTAATAATATAAGCCACGAGTAATTTGAAGCTTAGACGGATTTTTGAATGCACGATAATATATTGGGCAGCATTTGTGGCAACTGAAAATAATGAATTTATTTGTGAACATACAGATACATGATACAATACTTTTTTTTTGTTTTAAATAGATTCTTGTTTTGATAAAAGAATATGTGAATTATCATGATTAGAAATTAATGTGTTTAGTTGACCTTGATAAAAGGAAGACGTTTTTCATTTTTTAACATTCAGTGTTCTTCTATGTAAAGGCCTGCAATTGATTTTAATATATAACCATTTCAGTTAAAACTTTTTGTAAATCATTTGGCAATGAATGATGTTGGTGGGAGTACACTATGTTTGTGTATGCTTATCTATCTATCTATATATATAATCATTTTGAGTGCTTTTTTACAGGAAAATATATATTGAAGACATGTGCAAACACTTTAAATTAAACTAGTAAATTTGTTGTAACAAGTTTGATTGTTTGTATGTTTTTTGAAAGAAAAGTAAAGTTTTACAACTCAGAGGAAATCCTCATTGTTGTTATCCAGAATCACATGCAGGAATTCTCATTATTCAATTTGTTTGATTGTTTGTTTGTTTTTTATTTTATTTATCTATGGAAATTGACATCCAAAAACACAAAAATAAAAAATCTTTTTACCATTTCTGAGCAAGAAATAAATTGGCTTTTAGTCAATAATTACTAGTAAGTGTCCAAATTTTCTTTAATCTCTTGTTTGAAGTTGAATATTTATGTGGTAACATTTCCCACTTTCAATGATAGATTTTGGGACAGAATGATGTCTGAAGCACATTTAATATGTTTTCTTTCAAATATTCTGTCCATTTTTGGACAGAATTAAGAAATAAGCACATTTCATATGTTTTCTCAACATTTGTAAAATAAAAATCTGCATGAATCAATGACACCAAAATTGTAAATATAATTAAGATTTAGCTTAAAAAATAAAAAATAAAAATTAAAAAACATTTCTCATGTTGTTAAGATCAAGACTTTCTGAATCAAATTTTGCAATAAAAATGTTCCTATTTTTTTCACCTATCTTCAATTCACTTTCATTAGTTTACAACAGCTTTTTTCTATTCTATACTGTCATTTTAAAACTTCTCTGAAAAACATTCAATTGCTCTAAAGATTTACTGGTATCAATATACTAATAAAAATTCAGATGTGGACCAAATCCCAGACTTGAGGGGGAGTGGAAGATATCCATTGTATGACAAGCAATTTTAGATGAATACATGTTTGACAAATAAATTTAAATGTTCAATCCGCCTGGGAAAATAGAGAATAATTCTTTTGAATATTGCACAATTTGAAACAAGTAATATCAAGACTGAAGCCTACTTGTAAAACAAAAGCACGTAATTGTTGTAGAAGTTAAATTAAAATGAGCATATTGGTTTGAGACTTAAATAGCATTGAATGTCTTTGTAGAATAATATGAAATTAGATAACAACCTAAAACGATGATCTCAAACAATGTTTTTTGAGAATGTTCAATTCAAACAATGGTGGATGTAAAGAAAATGGGTTAAGATGATGGATTTGATCCTGAAATAGTCTACTCATGCATTAATTGAACAAGATTATTACATGTGTTTTTGCAAGACTTGTTTCATTATAAAACACTAAGTTCCAATGTATCATATATTTCGTATATATATATATATATATATATATACACTTACACACACTAAATTGAAATGCATCCCATATACAAAGAAATTGTAGAGAAAATGAGGTAACCTCTATAAATTATTCACCAAGTTCATCACAATTGGACAACATAATCAATTCAGTAATCATACTTTGATTTTAAAGAGTAAAATATGAAAAGAAAAAAAGATGTGTACAACACACGGTCTTGACCATGCTGAATACACATCCAAAAACCATGAATAAGTTTTAAAGAAACTTGCATCACTGATTCAGAACATACAGCTAGTTTTTATAAACTCTCCTAAATATGAAGTCATTGTCAACAAAGTTTGGGATGGAATAAATTATTAAGGAACTGATAAACTATCAAGACGATTTGTTACACACAAATGGTAACATGTTGAAGCAACAAAATCAATCAAACTACTCCCCACTATTTAATTTGTTCTGTTTAGATACTCCAAGAGTAATGTTAAATTTTCAAATCTCAAGATAACCAAATCCAATATAAAACAAAAAATAAAAGAAATAAAAAAAAATACAAAGATTTTTAAATCAACATCATTGTGGCATTACGTTTTCATGTGCAATGGAACAACGACGTTAATGATTAAAGTTTGTCTTTTCACAAAAGATTAAAAAGATTGAAGTAACATTTAAGGATTTATGCATTAACGAAATTTGAAGGTTGGAATCAAGACAAGGCGTTTAGGGATATTTAAATTAGATCAATAAGTACATGTAACAGTATTTTCATTGCTATGACTTGCGTTTTTTTAATACAAAAGTGTCTGGACCTTCCAGGCTTCAAGTCAATCGACTGTTCTAATCTTTGCAGAGAATTAAAAGTTAGAAACATGAAAAGAAGCAGACAATCTAGATCACAATAGTGACGATGATTGTCAGACAGAGGAAAACACGACGCTGATAATTGCTTGCACTTGATACTACACAGAAATGGGTAAAGAATCAAAAGAAAGAAAGAGCTTCAGGATTTAGGGTTTAGACAATTCAACATGTAAAAAGCTGCATTAAGTTAGGTTTCTTACCCAGAGCCATTCTTGGAGCATGAAGTTTGCAGACCCAGAGAACAGCAGTGGAAGAGTTGATGATCTCGTACCTTATAATAGGACACTATTTGTTGCTTCGACATTTCCCATTTGTCATCCTCACTCCAGAGCTTCAATCCTTTGTAGAGGTAAGCCCCAGATAGCATTGAAGAAACTCATTTATGTAAGGATCTTCACTCGACCACACATCTAGGGCAGCACTCCACACATGAGACTTACACAAGCACGGTGCACACTGCAAGCCTTGAATGTGTTTATGTTCATCCTGGATAGTCAGAAGATGAGGAAACATCTTAGTTCGGGCTGCAGCAGTTGATACCGTAGCAAAAGCTATGAAGACGCTCCATACTAACTTTGAGTGCAAACGGTGAGAAAGTTTCAGTGACAAAAGGGATTTTAAAACCTCACCCACATCCATGGCTGCTAGGAAACTAGTACCGGGAAAGAGTCACAATTCTTAAACTTTTCGATAATCTCGTGTTCTCTCTGTGCTGTCTAATATTCTCAGCTGTGAGATGTGAAATGTGTAGTATTACTGAATTCAAAGGTGTGTTGGGAATGGCGAAGTCCTATTGTGCCCTTATTATTGAGACAAAGCACACTGAGCTGTGCCATATTATGTGGTTACGTTGCCACGTGAAGCTTTCTAATAAGAAGATTGTGAGCATAGATATGCTTCGATGAATACTATGCAAGAAAACAAATTATGGTTCACTAAATTGCAGCCTCTTAGGAAAACCATGCGCCATCCAACTGGTAGGATTGAGTGCATTCCTTCAACACTGAAGCACAGACCATGTGAGCTGCTCTTTTGATGGCTTGCTCATGCCTGTCAAGAGTAAGATCTAGCACAAATACCAGAAAGGATTCTCTGTATTGACTGTAAACTTCACAAACCCTACTAAAACTCTCGATTCAATGCTTCAATTCTCTCAATACCATGAGGTCATGGCATAAACTTAAAACAAAGACGGGAAAACGACTGATTCAGTAAGATCACAGTACACGAAGTCCAATAAACTCGACCAATGTAAGACTAATGATTCCTAATGCTCGTGGCTGGGCGAAGGGGACCGACGTATCGTCTAGGGTCGCGGCACTTTCAGCCACCTTCACAGAATCAGCAATTCTCGACCTCAACCTTTCAAAAACTACAACCAGCTCAGGAATTACAGGATTCCTCAACACAAATTCCACGACTCACGTTGCTCTTCTCGAAATACGCATTCAAGAATGACGCCTACTATGATCAGTATGTGACCTAACTCACCTCTGGAACGGCAGAGGGCGAAGAATGCACACCATCCCGAGGAAACCTGGTGATGCACGCGTAGCAAGGGACCAAGTACGATGGCGAGAACACGAACCCACCCTCAAGTCCTCAGCGAAGGTTGATCCGCTGCCGCAGCAGCACAAGTAGCAGCAGAGTAAAAAAGACGCAAGATAAGGACGGCGTGCCGTACAACCTCCGCCAACACTTGAGGCATTGCTTGCTGCCCCCACCAGATAACTCTATGCTCCACCAACTCACCTTTGGAATGCAAAAGTCGCTTCCGAAACACAGAAAAGGGGGGAGGGGGGGGGACAATAAATAAATATAAAACAAAACAAAACAAAACAAAGTTTTTATTATTATTATTATCCACCTCAAGAGTCTCCCCCATACCGTTCCACCTACTCCACAGAAACTCCAAAAACACTGTACAAAAGTATGAAAAGTGTGCAGCTATTTGTTGCGCTAATGATGAGAAGACTGTCCCGAAGCTCCCCCTGCTTTCCATGTCTCTCCGTCTGTACACCACTGGACCACCAAATCATGGCGAGGAACATTCAAATTCTGCGCACAACGGCAAAACGCTCCGCCTTCTCCCAGATCCCGTCTCACCCACCTTGTCCCATTGTCCTCCTCCTTCGCTTGGAACTTATGACCAATTCCTGGAATCATCTCGTGACTGCACAGTTCGAAACGCACAAAAAAAAGATTTTCACTAATCCAGCACTTCACGCGCTAATTCTGCACTCCCTTCTTCCTCTTCGGTGTGTCTGTATGTATGTGTGTGTGAGTGAGGGTGTAATTCTCTTTACTTTAGAAAGAATATATGGATCTCGAAACGTGCACAAATGTGCATCAACGACGAGATCATCGGCCTCAATCTGCTCCCATCCACCGCAACAGGCCCTTCAAGTGGCCACAAGAGGCTCTACTCCCACTCTACTCTCTCAAAGATGCTGGCTCTACTTCCTTCCTTCTACTGCCATTGACTTCCGATGCCCCAACACTCCAGTCACAAGTGAGAAATATTCCTCACCCCCCTCCCCCCAGCCAGTTTTGTTTATATTTTTTTTTGTCCTACATTGACTTTGTAAACTAGGTTTCGGTCGAAGCTTCGGGGGCTGGCTGGGTTCACGACCACCTACAAGTGTGCAACCACTTTGACTTGATCTGTAATTAATACACTTTCCCCCTCGCTGGACAGAACTTTCAGAAGCTTATGCACGCGCTTGCGTACTTGCTTGCTTGCTTGCTACATCTAGCTAGATCGCCGTGGAGGACGAGGGAGGGAGGATTGCATTGTGTCTGTGGATGTGAGTGTGAAAATGTTTGCGACTCATCAATGCGTCAGCGATGAAGGCCCGTTGCAATCCGCTTCGGCACTTGAAAGCCTTTGAAAGCCCATATTTTGCGCCGCCGTCGGCGCCTTCATGGGGACGAAGACTCGCATTATTGGATGTTAATTCAGCCGGGTTCATCCATTAATGAAGTTTTTCATTCGTCAATTTTTCATCCATCCACTGGCTTTGGCTTTGGCTTCGCCTGTGTGTTTTTTTTGTATACTTGGGATCTAGAGCTTCCTTTCCCCCTTTTCTCTTTCTTTTACTTTTGCTTTGTTTCATTGGCTTGGTGAGTCGCATTTGCATCCGAAGTTTGAGGCTGTTGTATTGCTTTTTCTTCTCCTTTTTCTTCTCCTTTTTCTTCTTCTTTTTTTGCATTTTTTTGAGTTTTGAGAGTTTTTATTCAAATAATTTTGTGGTGCAATGTGATTTTTCTGAAGTAGAATCTGGATTAATTTTTTTCTGTTGCCAGGTACTTACAATAAGTTATTTGGGTTTCTTTGTTTGTTACAAAACCAACAAAATTGGACCTTAAGATTACTCAAGAGAGGATGAGTTTTGCTAAAGATGAAGGAATATGTTTTTTAGAAAAGAAAAATAATTTTAAAAACAATAATCAAATTAATGTTGGTAGATGGGATATTGAGTATTATTTGGGCCAAAAGATGCAGTTGTATAAGACGAATTTTGTAGTAGGACAAAGAATCACAACAACAACAACAACAAAAAAAAAAAAAAAAAAAAAAAAAAAAAAAAATCAAACTTGAAAAATCTATAATAGTAGAAGAAAAGAATAAAATAGATCTTTTTGAGTTGGTTTGAATAATGGAATCTAAGGTGCATGTGATATTTTATGCTTTATTATTATACTTTAGATAAGGAATCAATGAATGGCCAAAAAAAAATCATGTATTAGGATTTTTTTAATAGATATGTTAAAATAAAAATTTGAGTACAACAATTAATATTAAGTGTATGTAAAATATATTATTAATAGAAAAATATACAAAAGTAATTATTTGAGCCTTCTCCATTCTATAATACTAAGTTATATAATACTTCAATGTACAAACAATAGACACTTCAAATAAGATAACTATTTTTTAATTTTTTAAAAATTATTTACTTCTTTTTTTTAGAAAAGTGTGTTTCTTTTCGTTCTTTTGGATAAAAAATAAGTTTAATGTTTTCAAAAAATATAAAAAATATTTTTGATAAAATAAAATTATTTTTCTAATTAAATTTTATGTTAATAAATTATAAAATTAAATATAGTATATATTGCTCAAAAATACAAAAATTAGTATTTTACAAATAAGAAAAAAAAAATCTTTTATAGCTTTAAGTATTGGCAAATTAGAAAATTACATATTTAATCAGATAAATATATCTCCAAAAGAAATTATTTTTTATTTGAAGTATTTGAAATATATTAAAATTTTATAAAAAAATAAAATTTTTAATGTAACTAATGTATTTTTTTAAAATATAAAAATAAAAATTGAAGTACTTAATAAAGTGGATCTATGTTCTTAAATAAATAATTGATTTAATATATATTTATTATTATTTCATAAGTTATTTATTTCAAGTATTTAAAATTATATAATATATATATATATATATATATATATATAAAAGTAACTCAATTTTCTAATCATGTAATAAAAACTTATAAAATATGTATAATAAAAAATACATAAATTTTTATTACAAGTATTTTAAAGTTTATATTTATACATTATAAAAACTATTGATTGTAAAGATATCAAATGTGTAGTATTTATTGAATTTTTTTATATTTTTAGCTATAATAACTATACTATTCTAAATAATTGTCACAGATTTAGAATATTGATTGGAAATCTAAAAAAGAAGCTCAAGAAGAATCGACAAGAACTAGATTAATCAGATGAGTACAAGAACAACACTAGAGAGGTGAGCTAGAGCTCCAAGTGGTATATTGTCGAGACTGAGGATCCCCTCAATCTCGGCTCCTATATATACTATAAGCTAGAAAGCTTCTCAAGCAGCTTCCACGAGCTTGAAAACTTCTCAAGTAGCTTCTATGAGCTTGAAAACTTCTCAAGTAGCTTCTACAAACTACAAAGCTTCTCTAGAACTTTCTAGAATCTTCTACAACTTCTTAGTATATGTCCTTGACATCACTTCCCTCCTTTAGCTTTGAGGTCTCCGAGAAGCACTCCTATTGTAAGTGAGTATCAACCTAAGAAGTTGAAAATTTGTAGCATAGTGTCTGCAATATACTCCAATTGTTGTTCACACGGTAAGTAGTTCATTGGTCCTTGTAACCAACAATAGTATCCTACGCCTTCGATTTTCGACCAGGCATGTACTTCTGTGTCTTCATTGTAAAAATGCCCTACAAACACTCCTTCGGGAAGATCACCATAAGCAGGTTCTACTTTAAACACAATCGCTAGCGACTTGTTACTAGGTATCCTCTATTGTCTTTGTGGTAAAGGTGGTTCTTCATCTTGAGGTCGTCTTCGTGAAATACTCAGTTGAGATGACATCATTGGTATGATATCTATCTCTTGGCTATCCATATCAGACCAAAAAAATAAGCACTAAATATGGAAGAATGGGCTAAGATTACAGATTTGTAGTCTCTAACTATATCTTTTAGAAGTTCTTTTTTCCCCTTCTTTCTAAGGCCGAGGATTAAGGGGCTTCAAGGAGAAGGGACTTCACTAAAAAATTTTCATTGAAAGGGCTTAGGTTTTTGAGGATAGCGTCGATGAAACTCTTGTACCTTTTGCGATGCATTAATAAGATTTTTCACTGGTTCCTATGTGCGTTCATTGATATCATAGTCGCTCCAATGCACTAGGTATTCCAATTTACCTCACTTACACCATAAATCTAGTACCTTTTTCACCTCGTATTCCTCATGGTTCTCAATTTCAATACTAGGTGGCGGACATTGCATTCTTCTAGGAAAAAATGACTCTCAATAAGGCTCCAACAAAGAAACATGAAAGATTGGGTGTACCTTCATAGCAGCCGATAACCCCAAATGGTACACCATTGGATTGATTTGCTTTTGGATGACAAATGGTCCCAATCTCCGATAATCCAACTTATCACATAGCCGCTTGGTTTAGATATTCCGTCGAAGCACCCATACTTTATTTCCAATTTTGAAAGTAGGTGTCTGATTCCAAAATTTATCTATGGACGCCTTGTAAGCTTCTTGGGCGGTTTGCAATTGAAGCTTCAATGTAGTTTGAAGCTCTGATAGTTGTTTCACAAATCCTTCAACTGTTGGATTGTTATTGGTTGATGGACTCAACAAATCAAGCTTCGGATGATACCTATAGCTGAAAAAGAATGGTGTTTGTTGAGTCGACGCATGAAGGGAGTTGTTATATGCAAAGTCAACTAATGATAGATATGCAGTCCAATCATCTTATTGATAGTTGATGCTGTATCGTAAATATTGCTCCAAAGTTTGATTCATTCGTTTCGTTTGGCTGTCAATTTGAAGATAGAAAGCCAAAGAAAGCTTGATATCCACCTTCAATATCTCAAAGAGAGATTTTTAGAACTTTGATACGAATTCGATTCCTCGATTGGACACAATATCATCTGGTAAACTATAATATCAATACACACTATCAAAGAAGAGCCTTGTTGTGTCTTTGCTTGATGATGTTTTCTTGCAAGGGACAAAGTATGCCATCTTTGTAAGCCGATCTACTACAACAAAGATGTTTTTAAAGGAATACGATGGCGGCAGGTCCATAATGAAGTCAATAGAAACTGAAGACCATGACCGACGTGGAATAGGCAGTGGCTAAAGAAGACCATAAGGATGATGCCAAGGGTTCTTGATCTTGAACAAATGTCACAGGAGAGGACAAAATCCTTGACATCCTTCCACATTTGGGGCCACCAAAAATCTTGAGAAATAAGTTTCAAGGTCTTATTGAATCCAAAATGTCCTATAGCTAGAAAGTCATATCAAGATTAGAAAACTTGGAGTCGTGTTGGTCCCTTTGGAATATACAACTGCTCTTCAAAGTATAAAAGATCTCCTTCCACTTTGAACTTGTTATTATTGATACATAGCATGATATCAAGGGCTACAAAATCTCCAATAATCACAGTACGTATGTGGTTGAAGAAGTCAGCATGAATTGGCACTATAATAGAGCAAAGCGTGAATTGTTCCGACTTCAACAAAGTTATACACTGTTGATCAAACGTTGCTTCTCCGATCTTTGGCACTAGATATGATCTCCTTGATAATTCATCAGATAGTTCTAGGCCGATAAGTAATAATAAAGTCAAACCTGGATAGCAACATATTTGATCGAGCTTGACGATGATTCAAAACTTGAGCCGACATGAAGTACTCCAAATTCTTGTGATCCATATATACAATCATCGGATGCATAGCTCCTTCGAGAAAGTAATGCCATTCTTGGAAAGAATCCACTATCGTAAGAAGTTCTTTATCATGGATCTCATAGTTGATCTCGACAGTAGAAAACTTCTAAGAGTAGAATACAATCGGATGAAGCTTCTCGTCTGTGCCTATCTGCAAAAGTACAGCTTTTATAGCAAAATTTGAAGCATCGGTCTCTAAATAGAAGGCCTTTGTAAAGTCCACATGTACCAAGATTGGAGCCATAGTAAATGTCATCTTAAGATCTTGAAATGCTTTTTCCACTAGAGGTCTTCATTCGGGCTTATCTTTCATATCAACCAAGTGAGTGGAGCAGCAACTTGAAAATAATTCTTGATGAAGATCTGATAGAAGTTAGCAAAGCCAAGAAAACATTATACATCTCTAATGGTCTTTAGAACTTCCTATGATACGATTGCTTCTACCTTCTTAGGGTCCATCTTCAAGCCTTCCGTAGTTGTAATGAATCCCAAAAATTCCATCTCAATTTGGTTAAACAAGAACTTCTCCAACTTGGCGTAAAGTCCT